GTCCCTCTTGGGAGGGTAACAAGGGAGCCGTCTGAGCACTAGTGACTGGGTTTTACCCCTTTCTCCTGCTCTTCCTAGAGTACATTCTAGGATTTCACTAACATAAAGTATATAGAATAGATAGATGTGTAGAGATTAAATTTTAATAGTGCTTATCAGGAGTTAGAGGGAAGGAGAAATAAAAGAACCATTATTTAGGTAGCAATGAGTTTTTGTTTATAGGGATGGAAAAGTAGACAATAAACATTGGTCATGGTTGTGCATGATTGATGGAATTGGTTTTTATTGAATTGTATACCTGAAAACTATAGAATTGGCAAATACTGTGTTCCTAATTTTTTACAACAATAAAAATTTAAAAGAACTCATTTTAGCATGGGGAGCAACATGTCCAAAGAAGTTGTGGCAGGTGTGTGTAATGTCTAAGAGGGTGATCAAACAGGTCTGGATGTGTGACCTTGAAATAGTTACTTAACCATCTGTGCCTCAGTTTGCTCGTGTTCTCAATGGGGACAACAAAAATAAGCTGATCAGATAACCTCATAAGGATGTTGTGAGGATTAAATAAAGCAGCCCTTAGGAGAATACCTAAAACAAAGGTCATTCAAGAAAAAGTAACATTGTAATTATAATAATTATTATATTTTTTCTTTCATTTTCTTAATTGTGGTAATTTTACAGGAAACTGAATTATGATAGTTAAGGTTGTGTCAACTTGCCTCAGCCTGGTTTTGAGTGACTGGGTAATTAGATGTAGTTATTTCCCATCATGAGACTGGTAATCAACTAACTGCATGGTGGAATCTACTGTGAGCAGCTGAATAGCTGTCTTAGGGATGTGGTCTGCTTCCAGTATATGAGAAGAAGCTTTGAGAAAAATCGTGTACTCCTCGGCACATCTGGATCCTGCATGTGGCTGATTCATTGGTGGTCTGCCCTGTTGTCTGCCAATTTTGGGACTATTTAACTAGTGGCTTGGTGTGTTGCTTGATAATTTTGGGACTATGTCATTTTGCTCAGTGACCTTGTTTGTCACCCTCAGCAGCCAGCAGTTGTGAGGAAGCCTGCAGTCCAGTGGGGCAGGAACAACAGGCAGAGCTGAAGCCCAAGGTTGAGGGGCCTTCACTCAGCCCCTAGAACTGGCACTTTGAATTTGGATGTCTAGCCTCCTAAGACACTTGCCTGCTAACCAGATGGCTGGCGGTTCAAACCCACCAGCCACTCCTTGGAAGGAAGGTTGGGCAATCCTACTTCCGTAGTGATAC